GGCGTCGGTACAGCCGTATATGTTTGAACCGGAGTCCGATCCTGAAAGTGAGACAGACCAACGTGATAGACCTGATCCACCGTCCCAAACTAGACTAGAGCAGACGGTTTCACAGTGGAACGTTTTTATTTAGTATCGCTCTTACATTTCAGATGTTAGAACTGCATAATGTATCTACATCACAGTAACAAGTTTGTCCGCTAACTAACCGAACTGTACCTACAGCTGTTATTTAGGTGCACTTGTGGAAACTGCGCCATGATGCCTACCGAAGTGGAAAACGCCTGTTGCAAAGAAATTAGAAAGGTAGCCTAGCTGACAGTTACAACATTATGTAGCCAGCTAGCTGAAAACACCAACAGTAGCACACAACATTATATGCCAAGATATACACCATACATATTCGTCAAGTCAATAGACTATTATGCCCTTTTATTTCTTCCTTAGTAATTGAATGTTTATTTTGTAAACCTTGCCATAGTTGGTTTCATTGCTAAACGTGTAGGTAATATATTACCTTCCTATAGGTTGTAACACGAATGAACCAAGTATCAGCACCTATGATGTGCATGGTACACCACCCAGGACTAGAGCCAAGCTGTCTCAACTCATACACCCTGCAGAACCTCCATAACATGTACAGATTCGATTATGGACCTTTGAGGCGTAGAATGGAAGAAGAGTAAGTTATTCATACCTGTAATAAACTACTACTGTGTTTGATGAAGGATGTTATAGGAGCAAATAGTTCAGGGAAGAAAGTATTTCCATCAAATGTGTAAATATACATATATACACTGTATATCATCCATTCCTCCCCTTATAGGCGTTTTCGGCATCTTGCCTATCGCAGCTTTGTAAGCTGGTGCTGGAGCTTTTTAGGACGAGGCATCAGAGTGGTCATCCCGTCAAGTGTTGTCCGCCGGATACGCCAGGAGTTTCCTGATCTGGCTGGACGAAATCAAATACAAATCACAAAATATTAGAGAGACTTAGTTGTTTTAGGTTCGTTAGCTTGCCAGCTAGATTAATATGCTAACCTACGTTTGCTAGTTGTTCAGTGTAATATGCCAACCTACTATGAACAAAAGCTAGAGGTTCATATTAGGCTAGCAAGAACATGTTTACAGTTGCAATCTTATACGGGTAGTCTGCTACGTTCGGTCATTCTTTGTAGCTGGCATAAAAACAATGTTTTCCCTAGCATGTCTAGCTCTTGGTAGCCTTCTTGTTTAGCTCGGTAGCATACACGCTAGGAACGCCAACTATAATGTAATTAAGTTTCGCGACTGACCGTATGGTAAATCACCCGGAGTATACTGTCTATGAGTATTTTGTGTGTGAATGCAGACATTCTCCTGCTATGAGACACATGTGAGGCCATCTGCTGACATAGGAGTTGATCTATTTAAACGCTAGCAACTTAGTTAGCCCAGTTAGCACTGTGTCAATGGCTTAGCAGCCCGACAAACGTTTACCCATTTAAACAGTCGTGGTAGATATACCTTGTTTGTTTTAAACATCATAAATACACAAACAACATTAAAGACTTAGGTTGTGTACCCGAATCTCCCGCTGGTCCAAACAAAGTAGGAACAGCATTGTTCTTCTGTGCTACGCCAGAGTCCTGCATTGGGTCGGGTTCCCGCGGGTAAAAGTGATTCACGGGTGGTATTTTTTCAAAGGCTTTTTTCCGGGTTCGGTTCTGGGTAAAACAAAGATGATGCGGGTCGGGTCGCGGGTGTTGCATAATAAATATATTAAAATAATAATAATTTAGTTTAATGTTTAAATCCTCAGACCTCTCCCCCGCGGGACCGCGCATAATCATAACCTCTGCAGCGCATCAATCGGCTGCTGAGCACGCCACATTCTAAATGGCTGAGGTGAAGCTCTCTAGCGGAGAATACAGCATTTTCAATAACACTTCCTCAAGAGCGAAATCCAACGTCTGGGAGGCTTTTGGTGTCATCCTAGATGGAGGAAATATCCCACGCTTTTTGAGACAAATATGCAACTGCGTGTGTGAATAATTGTACGTTTTCACTGCTCATATATAGGCTATGCGGGTTCGGGTCGGCTTGCGGATCTTGCGCTGACGGGTCGGGTTGCGGAACTAATTGGCAACATGTGCGGGTAGCGGGGCGGGTTCGGTATTGCACGTCGCGGGTGCGGGTGGGAGCGGGTCTTGAAAATCAGACCCGTGCAGGACTTTGCCCTACGCTGTGCATATCCCGCATGAATCGCTGAAAGGTTTGTGAAGCTTTGTTTCGTGAAATGCCGTGCACACAGTACAATACCGGCTCGAACATCTGAAGGAACAGTGTTAACAAGAAATGTCAACCACTGACTTCGTTTTGGTTCTGCCCTAAGGCATGCATTGAAGATTTCCCCTCACAATACAGGACACAGACCCTCGTTGGCATGACTGGATACAGTTTTTAAATTAACCTTAGCTTCCAACAGTATATATGTTCTGCTGGCAGAGGGTGTGGCCTCTGGGTGTTCACACGTCACAGTACCCGGGAAATAAACAATGGAAAAAGAGAAATGTCCAACGAGGCGTTCTGGGGCAGCAGAGACAGGTATTTTCTGTGTTAGAGTTTTACTCGCTACAGGGTGTACTTTGAGGGTTAGTGACTCTGCAGACCGTTCACATGCAGAAAAACCTTCATAACACAAGGGGACGGGTCAGAACCAGAAAATATTTTGTAAAGTTATTTTATTTCACTCACATACAGTATTTGGTTTTCTCTTCCTAGCTCCCATTGAAATGTCATTCTTAAAATACCTTTCTTGTACCTTGCTTTAAAAACACCTTAATTGTATTATTGAACATAATACACAGTGGCTGACTTTTGAGGGTAAAGTGGAGTTTGGTTTTGGGGTCTAATAGTTCACTAAACATGTTTTATTTTTTTAATAGGCAGTATGTTTATAAACAGTCTTTGCCATTCAGAGACATTTTCAGATCAGATGAAATCAGATTAATCTCACCTTTCACCCCTCTTCCAATCATGTTAATACTGTGAGGCTAGTGAATGCAATGATGGCCCAATAGTAATGTTTAAATTACAAATGAGTGGTTTCAGATGGATGCTAATATTAGTATTAAGCTGTTCTTTCAACAGCACCACATTGTGCCGAATATTGTTAAAACCACCATCAAAGTGGACTGCACAACTACACAAATGCATGCAATGGCTAAGAAATGCAATCAACATTAAGTAAGTCATTTTTGTATTTTATGTAAGCAGTTTCAAGGCTACATGTGCTTGTTGCAAAGTTTTGTAGGGGAAGGAGTACACATATTTACAGTCATTTGTAGTACAGCAAAACAAATGCATTGAAAGATAATTGACATGTGTGCAAGAACAGGGTCAGAAGACTGAGTCACATGTTGCCTTCAAGTTCATCTCGATGTGAACCTTTCGTGTTGTTTGAGCCATTTATTGACATATGCCCTTAAAATAGTGGGTTAATACAATTACTTGGGGTGTTTGTGTGTGGGGGGGTGTGTGTGTGTGGGGTGGAGTGTGTGGGAAGTTCCCTCTTTGCATGAGATGCACGTTTACTTGCACAATACAAATTAGGAAACATAGGAAACATTTGACTCCAACTGGAGCAGATTTATTTAAAAAATGTTAGCAACACACTTTACAATAACACCAAACTTTAGGTAAAAGCAACAAGCATTTTTTGGGTAGTGCGGAAGTTTATGAAGAGAATTATGCAGAAGATGTGATGCAGCATATTTTTGGTATATTCATTTTAATCTCACCAATATATAAGAGGTGTATTGCATCATGTTATCCCTAAATATATGTGTGGGTATATACACATTCCTGTGTATTCATAGTTGAAGGAACAAAATACATTGTTCCTCTTAAATATAGAGGTTTTTTATAGATTCCTGAAACAATGTTCCCTTTTTCTTTAAAGTAGATTAGCGCAATAGTCTTTTTCTTTCACTTGTACCCTTTTCATCAAAAGGGTGCTTTAGGCTATTTTTGAGGGGTAAAATGCAGAATTACTTGTGAGTTCTGTTTTGAGTGAAAAGATTACCCTTTTGAGTGTTTTTCTTGGTTAACCATTAGATATAGTGGCTACATTCGTTCTAAGTTAATTATGCGCATCCTGCAGGCCTTGAGAATTTAGTCACACAGTTAAGAGAGACAATGGTCCTTTTAGACTAAGGGTGAGCTTACTTCGGGTGAATAAAAGTTCAGAGATGATTGGGGGGTGTATGAAGACAGTTAGGCTTGTTGGTGAGCTAGTTCTGAGGATGTCATGGGATAATGACTGTTTTATTCCTAACAAGTATGGCTTTCATAAAGAAACACATGACTTGGGTGATAAGATGTGTTTTGTTGTAAAATGGGCCCGTTTGGTTTTCTGCTGGCCAGCGCTGGGTCACTGTGACAAAGCATATTTTGCGTCTGCCAATGAGAGGACCTGAAAAGATGACCAGCTGACCTCACCCCTTCCTTCTGTCTTCTGGTATATCTCCTGTCGATTCCTGAGTTCGGCCTCTCTTCACATGCTGTCAGGACAGAAGGATCTCCGCAGCACGCGAACCAGGGCATAAGTGGGCCGGCTACTTCTTAAAACATTACAATATGATTTTAGTATATTGTATTATATGGTGTTGTAATGTATTATAGTGCATTGCATTATTACCTTTGATAATTAAAACAGATTGTTTAAACTGGTATCTGGGTGTTCTCTGTCTGATTTCCTTCCTGTTATGATTTTAAGCAGGACTCGTCAAAACGACACGCGGAGCCGAGTGGGGTTGTAAAAACCTCAAAACTCCAACAGTAGTAAACACTCTCAAAACTTCATACAAACCCTGAATGTTACAGTATTATTCCAGTAAGTCATGCCATGCCTTGTAACAGTTCTTTTTGGTAGTGAAGCACAGAGGGACCTGACACTTCCTGCAGTACACAGGTGTCTTCACCCTTCTGTTGCCAGCATCAGAGCACTTCCTGCAGTACCTCCTGACCTTGGTGGCAACACGGGCATGCATGTGAGCGGTGGGGGGGTTGGTGGGCGGGGTGTTGCTGCTGCAGGGACTCCAGCAAACTCAACCAGTTCTTTAGCAAGCTGCTCCCTGAAGGACTTCTGTGCGAGTGGCTTCGCCCTGGCGGGGTCACCCCTCCTCTTGTGCAGCTCCTTGTGGAGAAGGAAGCTGTTCACCACGGAAATGTCCATAAAATGGTAAAAAAAAGGTCTTGTACCATTTCATCGTTTTGTGATGAATGCTGTAGTATCCAATCAAAGCGTCGGACACATCCACGCAGCCCATGCTTCGGTTGTAGTCCACCACAGCGTCAGGAGCGGGAACATTCTTAGTCTGCCACACACCAGCCCGTTTCACTTTCCTCCTGACAGTCTGTCCACTGAAGGCCTGATCCAGAAGCCATTTCATTATCGTCTTCCTCACTGTGAAAACAAATGTGGAAAAAACAAATAGATTAATTTACTGGCTTGTACTTTCAAAAATGTAACTCAAATCAGAAATAATTCCTCTACAACAACAGCAGAACATCAATTTTGAGTGTGTGAAATAACAGTATATCACTCAAAATGTATACTGTGTAAATTATGTGAGACGGGGTTGATATAATCTGTTCAATATTTAATATTCCGTCTGTCATATTTATATATGTATGTGTATATATATATATATATATATATGTGTGTATATATAAAATACCGTGTTAAACTCAACATGTATATTTTCTACTGTCTTGTTTTTTTCTAGTCTTTGAACAATAAATGGTCTCCATTTTATTTGTTTGTTGAGTGTGTGAAATAACATTATATCACAAAATGGATGCAGTATGTTATATTCACTTGTGTGAAATTACTATAGATGAATACTCTTACACCAAATAAATAACTAAAAGATAAAAACAGATGAATACTCTTACACCAAATAAATAAGTAATAGATACAAACAGAGAGATTACATACCTTTCCGTTGGTGGAAGTTCATAATCGGAGTCATTACTGTCTGGGTTCCCTTCATGCGTGACGAGATCACTATCTTCCGACGGCGAGTCCTCAAATACCAGTTCCAATGCCTCCTCGATGGACAATAAACTCTTCTTTATGGCTGCCATTGTTAAAATGAAGAGAAAGAAAACAAATCCTGCTGTTTCGCTGATCTGCTGTTCGATCTACCGTTCTCTGCTCTCCTGTCTGTCCTGTAGCGGTGGTTCTGCTGCGTCGTAGACGTGAGTGTGCGTAAAGCAGCAGATACTGGCCTGATTTATACTACGCAAGATCCTATCTCTGGGACCCATTGGTCGATTTGGGTGATTGACACTTTTGATTGAGCCAATAGAATCGAGTGGCAGTTGCAAAATACGTAAATACTTTACAGCTGCGGAGGGAGAGCAATGAAGAGTAAATGTTATACCTACTCTGCTGCCATGAATGTAACGATTGATTATCAGGAACAATTCTAAAGTGACTAAGAGACATTGGATTAATCTTGAGCAGCGTTTTTATTCCCTTGAACACGACTTTTGATCACAAAACAGCAACGGTAAGACATAATTATTGTTATGGTTTTGAAAACTGTTGTTGTTTCCTTGCTCTGTTCTGGCTGCTAGCTCAGTGAGTTCTAGTCGTGCAGTGATAATACTTATACCAATGGAATATGTGGAGTCTCAGCTTTCAGGTGATACGTCGTTTTAAAGATCGTTTTTGCTAGTTATCACCCGAAGTAGCATTAGCCTATTTTCGCTAAGGGCTCATTTTGGCTTCTTGTGAGACTTGTGTTTTGTTTCGGTAAAAATGGCTCGTATCGGCAGGTAGCTGAGTTTCTTCCCGTTAATTGAGTGTTATACATTCATAGGTTTTTAAATATGAATAAGCCCTCAGACGCTGTCTCCGGCAGTGGCACGTTTTTCCGCCCGGGGGGATGGGGTTCAACAGGTTAAGAAACACATAAAAACAAGCAGGGTAAGAAACCTTTCTCCATGGTCCTGATATAATGCTGCAAAACACAATTCAATATATTTAGGTGGGTCCCTACCATATTCTGATGACTTGCACTGAATGGAGTCCGTCAATGTTGCATAATCAGGACAGTAACTGCTGATGGCTAGTCTCACCCCTAGATTCCACCGGGTCCGTCTGCGCCGCGTTACGGCCGTGTTACGGCTACACCGCGGCGTCCGCAAGGATCGCGGCCACTCTAGTCAATGGGTGCTATTCCACCAGACGCGCCACGTTACGGCTCAGAAGCGTCCCAGAAGCGTCTCGGCGCTGGGCTCTGCTCAAAATAGCATTGAAGTCTATTTTTCGACGTGAGGCGTTGCAGAGGCGCCGGGCAGGAAGTGGACCGGTCAGAGCATCCGGCCCATCCCCCAAATAAACTAATTGTGCAGACCCTATCCCTCCGTAGTCTTTCAAGTAGGAGGAGAAATGCCAGCGTTCTCCTCCGGTTTACAGGCACTGTGTACATTATATATATATAGAATAATTATGATGATGAATGCATTTTTGTACCACTAAAATACAGCAACACATCTTTGATTCATGTCGTTTATAACTGGGATATTACAATTATTATTAACTTTGTCTGTACAAAGTAGCCTGTCCAGGAAATATGCCCAAATCAACAAAAACTGCGAGCCGGCAGGCAAGACGCTCCGCTTCTGAAATGCTTCTGAAACGTAGGGTAGAGTAGGTAGGGTAGGGTACAGATGAAGCACTCCAGATCAGACTCAGTTGGGTGTGTCCCAGTCAAAAGCCCAGCGGATGCCAGCGGCTGGGGGTGTTGCCAAATTGCTAGAGGGCGTTGCCCAATTTCCCCATTTGTTCAATTACAGGATTTAACCATGAGATGGCGCTTCATTCACAAAATACACAAAGACAACTGTTTGCAATGTTTGCAGCTCTGCAGTTGTGTTTGCTGAATACTGTAGCATTTAATCACTTATTTGTTACTGTATGGTTTTCAAGCTACTATAATGAAAAAACATCAATATTTTAGATCAAATAAAGTGTTTAAAGTGGGAAGGAGAGCGCGCTGTCCTTCCCTTGCTTCTCCAGCTCAGAGGCGATGTTTGGAAGTTGGCCAAATCTTTGCGCTGCAGCTTTGAACACAGCAGATGCAGTCTTCGTTTGAGGGCATTAACTGAGCTGATCATGTCAACCACAGTTCTGTCTTTCCCTTGTAGCTCCAAGTTCAGCTCATTCAACATGTGTGTAATGTCTGTTAAAAACGCCAGATCTAACTTCTCGTCATCTAGACGTGCGTACTCCGCGAGCTTGGTGCCATGGAGAAATTCCTTTATCTCCGGTAGAAGCACTCGAAATCTCTGGAGAAAATTGCCCCTACTCAGCCATCTTACGTCGGTGTGTAGTAAGAGGTCAGTGTGAACACAGTCGGCATCCTCCAGATATGCACGAAACAGCCGTCTTTGAAGAGGTCTTGCCCGAATAGAACAGGCCACTTTAAGTGACACATCCATGACCTCTTTCATGTTCAGCATTTTAGCACAAAGTGCGTGCTGGTGTATGATGTAGTGATAATTCAGAAAGTCAGGGAATGTGTCATCCTCTCTGCATTTTGCGATGAAGCCATTACACTGGCCCACCATCGCAGGCGCACCATGCGTTGTGATGGAACTCAACTTAGACATGGGGAGTTTAGTTTTGTCAACAAAGTTTTTGAATGTTCTCGCCCCGAGTGTGTTCCTTCATTGGCAGAATTGTCAGTAGTTCCTCTTTCGCCGTCATGTCTGTGAACTATCGTGATATAAACGCACAATTGCGCTGTATCGCTCACGTCAGTGGACTCGTCTAGTTGGAGTGAGAAACACTCGCAGTCTTCTATGTCCTTCCTGAGTTGCTGGGTCAAATCCTCAGCCATGACTTCACAGCGACGTGTGACTTTGCTCCGTGATAATTGGACGGCCTTGATAGCGTTTACTATTTCTGTTTTGTTTGTGTAATCCCGAAACAAGGCGTCTGCTGCTTCTACGAAGGCTTCTTTCACCATCTCTCCATCTTGAAAGGATTTTTTGTGTTTGATTATAGCGTGACTCACTTGTAGAGATGCTTCAGTGGCTGCCTTTGCGGTAGATGTCGGCTTTAAGAAAAGTAACTGCTGTCCAGCTAATTGTGACTTACGTTTTTTTTAATGAATTACTCGCGATCTACCAGCATTGCCCCTGCAGTCGACTGGTCGACCGCGATCGACGTACTGGGCACCTCTGCTGTAGAACAACCATCAAATAGCACAGCTTATCCATAAACGGAGTTTGAACGTGGAAATGGACCTTTCAAGTATTACTTGTCGTCAAACATTCAAAACTAAATAAAAAAAAATTATATTTGCAGATTACTCCAGCTAACAAATATTTAGAATCCTTTTTTATTTATTTAAAATGGTTTAAATTACTTTTAATGTATTTGTTCCTTCTTATTTATTAGTGCGAATGCTGTTTACAGCATTCCACTATAGTGCTTCAAATCTTTATTCTTCCCCTTAAACTTATTTCAGCCAATACTTTGGCTCTCCATAACTTCAGCTTATTTTCAGCTACAGAAACCATTCAAATATTAAACTATTCAGCCTGTTCAGGAATCGATGGGAAACCTTCAACTTCTTCAAAATATTTCATACTTTTTGAAATATTCAGCTTTTTAAACTATTTTTTTTAACATTGAAGTCAATGGGAAGAGCCTTCAAATTAGCCAATACTTTAGCTCTCCATAATTTCAGCTTACTTTCAGCTACAGAAACCATTCATCTATTAAACTATTCAGCCTTTTCAGCAATTGATGGGAAACTTTCAACTTTTTCACAATATTTCATACTTTTTGAAATATTCAGCTTTTTAAACTCTTTTTTTAACATTGAAGTCAATGGGAGATCAAATCCACTTTTCCTAAACTTTGCGTCAAATGCTTCTCCTTCCACATAATTTCAGCGAGACACTTCATTCCAACTTTCAAATGATCACAAGACCTTCAGCTATTCAATTCCGATTGAAACTTTTTGAGATATTGAATTTAGTTTGGAGCTTGGTAGAGAGGCCTTTTTCAGATTTTAACATTAGAGTGGATGGAGCAGCTCATTAACTCTAGAGTGCAGGATAGCTCGAAATTCTCCCCCAAAGATGTTTTAAACTTATAATAATTCCCAAACCTTACACTCCTCAGACATATTTTTTCATGAAAAACGTAGGAAAACCTCTCCTAGGTTGGAAAAGAAAAAAAGAATAAGAAAAAATATTAAACAAAATGCCTCTTGAGGGCATGAAGAGAGAAAAAGTCCAGCTAGCTCCCAATGGATTCCCATGTTAAATGGTTCCAGATCTTTCTTCAGAGCAGAGAGAAGTACACTTTAGACAAACTGCTCCCATCTCCACATTTTACACACAAAACCCAAAAAAAAACATATTTCAGTTCATTGGGGTTCCCTGATGCTCACGGTCTGGTCATTTTTTTTACAAGAGCCATAGTTTTTGAACAGGGGGCAAAATTGTCAGATATAATCCCCAATGCATTCTTATGGGACTCAGTGCTGCAGTTGGTTGTCATGGTGTTGCTGGGCAGATTGGAGCCAGACACACGTGAGTGACATCATCCAATCAGAGCAGACACCATGGAAACCTTTGATCTCTGGGTTTACACACACAGGTGTTTGTAAACATTCAATCACTACTACTTACATTTAATATCTTTATTTAACTCCTTCAGCCTAATTTCAGCTGCAGGAACCATTCAAATATCAAACTATTCAGCCTTTTCAGCACATGATGGGAAACTTTCAACTTTTTCTAAATATGTTATACTTTTTAAAATATTCAGCTTTTTAAAGTCTTTTTTTAACATGGAAGTTATTGCAATGCATTTGAGCTGTAACAATGTTCATTCAAATCATTTCACTTTTCTGCATTTTTCCGCTAAATTTAGCAACACACTTACTTGGTTTTTGTAGCTAAAAGCAGCTACCATTCAACTAATATATTATTATAATTATACTTTTAAAAACCTTTCATTTGTTTTTAAAGCACTAAATGGGCTGGCTCCTGCCTATATAGCTGAACTCCTCCAGCGCTACACCCCAGCCAGAGCTTTAAGGTCTGCTGATCAGCTGTTGTTGATAGTGCCCAGCGCCTGAGGGCACCGAGCCTTCGCAGCAGCTGGCCCCAGGCTCTGGAACACTCTGCCCCTCCATGTGAGGTCGGCCCAGACCCTAGGTGTTTTTAAATCTACTCTTAAGACACACTTCTTCTCCCTGGTCTTCTAGTCAGAGTGGAGCACGACTCCTGACTTTTCTCTGTGTTTTTTATATATCTGTTGTGATTTATTGTCTTTTATTGTGATTGTAGTAATGTGTTTTTATTACATGTACAGCACTTTGGCTCGACCAAAAATCTCTTTAAAATAAAACTTGATTTGATTTAATAAAATATTCAGCTTTTTCTGCAACATGGCATCTCATTGGGCTTTATTGCCACTGGTGTGTGTGTGTGTGTGTGTGTGTGTGTGTGTGTGTGTGTGTGTGTGGTGTGTGTGTGTGTGTGTGTGTGTGTGTGTGTGTGTGTGTGTGTGTGTGTGTGTGTGTGTGTGTGTGTGTGTGTGTGTGTGTGTGTGTGTGTGCGTGTGTCCTCACTTAGGGCCATCAAACTCCATTCAAGATTGCGCTGTTGCCTTTGACAATGTGGTAACAATTGCTTTAATGTTCAAAACTATTCTTAGATTATTGTATAACCTTCCTCAGTAGGCTATAGCACTAATGTGGGAAAGAAAGCAATTTAATAGAGAAATTCATTTAAAATACTGACTAAGCATTTCAAAACAAATGTTAACTTTCAATACTTCACTTATAATATATTCATATACTTAATATTACTTGGAGTGTTGAGTGTTTTATTATTTTGTATATTGATATCATATAGATTAATATCAGTTCATCTCACTCCAACCATTTTACTGTTAATAACCCTGATTTTGACTTGCAGCCAGAACATCTACAGAAGTAACTAACTTGTCTGTGATGGCTCAGTGTGTTAATAATGGTTTTTGCTTATTGTTAGTTATATTACTGTATATTTGACCATAGGGGTCAATAAAGTCCATCCTTACACTAATGAAAAGCAATTGTAAAACATTAAAGCCAACAAATAAATGCTACAATAATACCACCAAATAAGAACATTTATTTAAACATTGAAATAAAAAAATCCCCTAAAAGATCCTTGAACTGATTATTTTATTAAAACAAGAACAACAAGAACAACAACTACAACAATAACAAGCTATTACTTTTACATTAAAACAAAAAACTGATTACATGATTTAACTACATTTCATTTGCTTGTTCAATTTTTGTAATGACCTTCCCCTCAACGGTCATTACGACCTCTAATTTTGCCATTTGCAGCAGTTCATCAAATGGCTGCCAGGTAGCCAAGGTCAGTTTGTAAATGTCGCCACTCTCCAGCAGCACCTGGAGCAGGGCCTCCTTGCTGCTGCTGCTGCTGTCATCGCTGTCCATCACACCAATGATGCAACCTCTTAAGGTGTCCGCTTTTGGCTTCTGTTGAGAGAACACATGGCTTAATATAATTCGTTACAGTAATGGAGTATTATTTTGTCACTTCTTCAAGGTTTTCACTAAAGTCACTTCATTTAGGTTTAATCTGACATTTACAGACTTTTGTATTATGATAATTAAGATAAAGGTTCCGTTAATACGATTTAATTCTAGGTCACATCACTAAGATTTTATTTTAAAATGAAAAAGTAACATTTTGCACAAAGTAATACCTCAATTTTTGTGAAACCTGTCGATTGAAGCTGCAGGCCATAATCGGTGCTGCTGCATCGTGTGTGGGTAATTTCCCCCTATGCGGATGTCCTTCACTGAGGCCTCCCTCCAGAGGGTCAAGTTTATTCTGGATTTGTCCTGTTGAAGATAATGGAACACAATATTTGTATGTTATGTGACCTCACAACAATACCAAAGTGTGTGTGGGGGGGGGAGTGTGATCTTAGAGTGACAACATATTTTCAATACAAATTGAACATCATTTAAACACAATAACCAATGTATGTAATGCATGTTTGGCCCACCTGTTCCAGAACGATCTTCCTCATGGGGATGAAATCCCGTCCGCTTCGGACTTTGGTCACTGTCTGCATCCAAAAAAGGTGTAATGTTGTGTTAATTATTCTTATTTGAGTTTAATAACTATATTCAAAAACTCAACATTTCGTTATTATAAAAGCACATTTTCTAGATAGCAGCCACAGACAACAGGTGGAACATTTGTATTCAGAACACACACACCCATAAGTTCCAGGTATCATTTGAGAAAACACATCCCTGCACTCTAAACAATCTTGATAATAGAAGCCAAGGGAAAACCTACTTCCACCACCTCCCCTTCCACCGACATCAATCCTTGAATGTCGGAACATTAGCCGATTTTCACTTTTTGTGATGCGGGGTTAAGGAGGGCCTCTGCCTCCCTCACCATACTGTCAGGCACCTCCAAATTGGAACTCTTGAAAAAGAGTGTGCTCTTTGATATGTTTAAATGATATGAGGGACACTGCCCCCGCAGCGTGTGGCCTTTATGTCATCTGAAGATTATTATCATCTGATATTTAAGAAGTGTGTTACATTTGAAATGGCAGAAAGTCTTGTTGCAAATTCCAGATAGATATTAAAAGAGGTCCTTTGGGTTTCTCTGGTGGTTATCAATAGTAGCAGTTAAGTGAATACTGTTCAAACAATACCTGTGTTTGTGTTTTATATTGATTTCTCTGTTGTATCCTTTCATAAATGTAAGGACTAAAAATGGCTATAAACATTCTGGGCTGGTTGGAGTAAACAGGGTTTTATTGCTCTGTGGGGGAGGTGTAGGTATGCAGGACAGGGGGCTAGGTGGATGAGAGTATATTCTGCTTAAGATCTCTAGCATGTCATGTTTCAGGGAAGTCTACATGTCTTGAATAGTATATGTGTGGGTTTAATTAATAAGCAGTCTGTGTAACCAGAAGTTGGAGATATGAGGGATGAAATCTTTGTGTTATCTTTGTGAGAGAAATGTATGTGCGTTAATTTCAGGACTCCTAAAGGAGCAGGAGAATTGAGTCACACACAATTAGAGAAACAATGGTCCTTCTGATTGTGGGTGAGCTGACTTCGGGTGAATGGAAGTTCAGAGATGGCCTGGAGGTATGAAGACAGTTAGACGTTGTTGTTGCTGGTTCTGAGGATGTCATGGGATGATGATTGTTACATTTCCAACAAGTATGGCTTTCATAAAGAAACACATGACTTGTGTGATAATCTACATAATAAGAGGTGTTTTGTTGCAAAGTGAGCCTGTTTGGTTCTCTGCTGGCCAGCGCTGAGTCACTGTGATACAGCATATTTTGCGTCTCCCAATGACATGACCTGAAAAGATGACCAGCTGACCTAACCCCTCCTTCTTATTCTGGTATATCTCCTGTTGAGTCCTGGCGTTCGCCCTCTCTTCTCATGCTGCCAGGACCGGAAGGATCTCCGCAGCACGCGAACCAGGGCAGGAGTGGGCCGGCATACTCCTTACACATTACAATATAATTGTAGTATATTATATTGTATTGTAATGTATTATATTGCATTGCATGATTACCTTTGATAATTAAAACAGATTATTGTTTCAACTGGTATCTGGGTGTTCTCTGATTTCCTTTCTGTTATGATTATAAGCAGGACTCGTCAAAACGACACGCGGAGCAGAGTGGGGTTGTAAAAACCTCAAAACTCCTACACATCCCTTCAGAAATGTTTGAGGAAAGTTCCTCAAAGTGTAATTTGAGCTACACTTTGGCCATCTGTTATGACAGCAACCTTGTTTAATTTGGTGGTTGCTGCCTTCACCAAATTCCCAGGCCACCACCCTCTGCCGGTCCTCAGTTTGAATCACTTTAATGTGCAAAGGTGGGGGCTTCAAAAAAAGGGAATCCGGCCTTGTCTTAAGCAGCCTGGAAAGAGCCATGATCTGAAACAACAAGAAATACAGACATGAGTGGCTTTTATTAGTTTCTCAGAACTGAAGCATATTGAAATGATATGGAATCTGACTGTAATGAATATTTGACCAAATTAATTGAAGTTTCTGGAAGTAAAGTTCAGTCTGGAATGAAAAGAAAGTTGCCAAACTTGTGCTTACTAATAAATCAAGAGAATCACAATGTAACAATCTGCTGACTGAAAAAAACAGTAAACTAAGTTCTTAATTGTAAATGTAATCTTTAAATGTATTTGAGATAAAACAATGTATTTATATTTATTTGTATATAGACATTAGACATTTTGGGAATTCATGAGGGTAATACTGCTTGCATGACTGCTGGCTTAGTCAACCAATTGTCTCGTGATAGGCAGTCAGAGATCTTGATCAGAATAAGTGAGAAATGAATTTAACTTCTGTTAGACAGCTATATGCCATACATTTTCGTATACATTCACAGTAAATATGTATTCAGTATGATAGCTGTCTAACATAAGTTAAATCCATTTCTCACGTATTCTGACAATGTACTTAACCCCAAATAAAAGAACCCAATAAAAAGAGTTAAATAATAGTGAAGTCACGTTGTAATAACAATAACTCATCTCTCTCGAGTTTTCTTTTTGAGCTTTGCCAAAAGCCACTGTGTCAAGTGTCCTACTTGGGTTGCCGTACGGAGTTGACCATCTCGCACATGCTTACTGCAAATCGGGCAGTGACAGTCACTGCTTATGCTGCACGTGCACGGAACAGATGGGATTACGGTAGTGACATGCCATGTGTGAGGGTCAAGTCCCAAACAGCCTGGGTGACTGTATCAAGGCATGCAGCTCCGGGATACAAAGCTACACATCCGAAGATATTGAACGATTGTAGCCCATAACCGCGTGTCACATTTTGAACAGATATAATCCCCAATGCATTCTTATGGGACTCAGACACACACACACACACACACACACACACACACACACACACACACAACACACACACACACACAACACACACACACACACACAACACACACACACCACACCACACACACACACACACATGGAAACCTTTGATCTCTGGGTTTACACACACAGGTGTTTGTAAACATTCAATCACTACTACTTACATTTAATATCTTTATTTAACTCCTTCAGCCTAATTTCAGCTGCAG